CAGCACAATGATTTTGCTGTTAAGACTACAATTTGTGTCATTACTCAATACTCCACTAATTGCGTTCAAATAACCTACAATTGTTTCCCAGGGGTGTGCGATAGACCTACCTCCACGTGTTGCACCCTGGGCAACGTATACTCATACGGCAAAAAAGTCTATCAATCGGCAGTAGACTTCAAACTACCATGACCCCGCTGTATGTCATATTTGATTACTTCCACATTACTCGCCTCACCTTTTTTTACTCTACCTTTGTGTCTATCTCTTTCACATCTTTGAAATACTCTTCTGTCCCCCCCTCTCCCTCTCGACTTTTTTCACTTTGATGTTCCTTCCCCTCTGTGGAGCTTGAAGTCTACTAAAGGGCTAATGATACCTATCAAAACGCCTGCCATTTCATATAAATAAATACAATTGTTTCCCAAAAACGGTTTCGATAGGGCAAATCCAGTAAATAACCATCCTGATGAAGAAATTCTGCTTGTTTTATATATACTTAGCTTTGGTGTGCGATAGACATATCTCCACGTGATACACCCTGGGCAATGTATACTCATACGACAAAAGTGTCTATGTAGTGGCAGTTGACTTCTGACTTCAAACTCTACCATGAATCGACTGTATGTCATATTCCACCACAGTACTCACCTTACCTTTCACCCTATCTTTATGTCTGTCTCTCTTACACTTTTGTTTGATCTAGGCCAATAAATATCTATTTGGGTGCGATTGGGAGTCCACATTTGAATTGACCAAATTTAAATCCTGAATGTTTTTTAAAGCTTTGAGTTATGTCCAATTTTGGTTAATGCGAGGAAAAATTATTGGTTGCAAGTTGTTTTCTATTCACTTATCCTGCAGTTAATGCCACAATAGCGTTGCTAGTCTGCACGAATTTATTGAAAGGAAGCACTTCAATAAATAGCTGTATTATAATTAACACATAACAAAATGCTACTGATAGTGTTTTAGTAGAATGTATTCGAAACTTATTTTTTCCTTTATTTGCAAATGAGAGCTTCTTGACAATCATACATATTTTCTGGTGGACTTTGTCTTTGTTTTAGCTTGCTTGATTCAGAAATACGCATTTGCACCACGCTACGCAACCCATGCTCAATGCCTGGCTTCATTCGGTGCATCAAACCCCTCTAAACGTCTCTCTTCAACTGAATTGGCAACAGCAGGATTCTTTCACACTGGACGAGCCGATGAAACGGTCTGTGGAGCCTGCTTTGTCGGTCTAAGAGATTGGCAACCTTGTGATATTGATGCTGAAGCCGTCCATGCCGAATTCTCTGGTCCTGGTGGTTGTCTCTACCTCACTACGCGAAGAATCCTTACATCAGTTCTTCCACTAGCCAGGAAGAATTTACCACCAGGTAAATCAACTTTCGACGCTTCCGCATCCAATGTAATGAAGGACCGATTAGCAGCTATTGCAAAAGAAATGGAAATCAGCGATAATAATCGATGTTGGCCAATTGGGAATGCTCGTGCACTGGGGTATTCAGATGATGTAATTCTGTTGGCGCTTTGGAGATTACAGACTGAGGAAAGTTCCAAAGATGGTAACTGGAAGATTGATCCACAGGTAGTTAATACATTCTCGTAGCATAAATTTCCATGTCGGAAAGGCATGTGAATAGCGTTTAGAAGTCAATATTTCCTATTTATTAGGTTTAATGTATTTATCTCAAATGGCAGGCGTTTTGATAGTAATCATTAGCCCTTTAACCGACTTCGGGCTTCACAGAGAGAAGGAGGAACATCAAAGTGACAAAATGTCGAGCGAGTGGGGGGACAGAATAATGATTAACAGATGTGAAAGAGACAGACACACAAAGGCAGAGAAAAGGTAAGATGAGTACTGTGGAAGGGGTCGAATATGACAGACAGTCAGGTCATAATAGTTTGAAGTCAGAAGTCAATTGCCGATAAATAGACTTTTTTGCCGTATAAGTATACGTTGCCCAGGGCGCACCACGTGGAGGTAAGTCTATCGCACACCCCAGGTTTAATGTTATCCGATCAAAAATGATTTGTGAAACGCTTTTTTCTCTTTCTAACAATCTCTCCATATATGCCGATTTTGACCGAAATTACTACTTCATGAGCATATTGAAGCCTTGACATTCATACGCTAGTATCGATTGACTCTGACTTCTTGAGTGATATTTTGATAAAATCACTGCAGTCATCATAGTCTGACCCTTTATGCGATTGTGATTATCTAAATTACCTTATAGTTTGTGTTACCTTCCTAGCCTACATTTTTCTACTCAATAGAAATTTGTGTATTATTTCTTGTTATTTCTTTAATTAAAATCATTCTATACTCGAAGGATCGTAGTTAACTAGACTCCAATGTTACCAGCTTGCAGAAGCTCAATTGTCCTACACAAACTAATTTATGTTCTTCTCACCCCTCATGAAGAATTGCATGGTGAATATTCGACGTATAATGTTTTCTATGGTTTCTTTCCCTTGTCATTAATCTTTGTCTTACTTTTCTTATATGATTAATGATAGTCGGAAATGGTGCGCTTATAATAGTCATCGTTTTATTTTCAGGGTACAACAGATCTCCTGAAAGCAATCCTCCGAGTTCAAGAAAGTGGCCTTGGAGATGACGATTTGCCGGAAATTCCCGGAGGGTCCTTGGAAGAAGCTTCGGAGTTCTCCGAGGAGACGAGCAGTGAGTCAACAGAAGTCGCAGAGGAGTTGGAGGCAGTTCTTGCAGGTCAAAATGCTCCACCTCAAACTCATATTCCCTGCCTCTCACAAATGCTTCAATGGTGGGCCAAGACATGGCTTCCCAGGTCAATACCAAGTGTCACCGTAACGGCTTCAAGCAGTCCTCGATCACTACTACGTAGAAAGGCCAATTCTACTTCAGTTTAGATTGTTGTATGAGAGAGCAATTAGCCAGCCATTCAGCCAATTCGGCACCGCACACCACCACCTCCCTCATCGGATAGGCGAATAATTCACACACCTTCTCTATAAATATATATATACATATATCATTACCAACTCATTTACTAATAAATACACTGGCAATCGTGCGTTTTCTCTGTAAATCAATTTCTTACGCTTGCTGAATCTGGGCTGAAGTTTGTTTTCTGATGATTTAGACAGTGGTATTAGAAGAGTAGTCTCTTCCTCTGTTATCTGTGCCCAATAGATAACTTTTGGCTACTGGCATGTAGAGAAAACTAAGACAAAAATTACCGCGTGTTTTTTTTATCGATACAACAAAGAGTTCTTACACAACTACCAGTTGTCTTCGTTTTATCAGCGTCCGAAAGCAAGACTTTGTTGGATCGATGACGTGAACGGATTAATGTTAGACATAAAAAGCAGACAAAGTGGAGTTTATCGAATTGGCCATTGTGACTCACTATTGTCGCTTCCTCAATTTAAATTGGCTGTCTACAATGTTAGGAAGCTTACAGCAAATCTTGACAATAACCAAGCCATCGTCTTACAACCCTTCCTTTTATAAATAGGCGAAAGTAAAGTAGAATAACCGGATTATCTTATGATCACTAAATAATCCAACATTAGGTAGCATTGCGAGTATCTTGTTCGTAGTTATCCAACCAAGCCCGAAGTTACAAGGGAAAAGTGCATGGATGGTGGAAGTGAGGTCCTTATACAGTAAGACTGAATACATAGGCCGTGAATATGGGCAAACTTTTAATAAGCGATAACGTCTGGTATTTCTAAAAATAAAATTATCATTTTACATCTTATAGAGAGGTGTATAATGGCCTACCAATATCAAGAGAGATGGTGGGTATAGAACTGAGGGTAATTATCCACCAAAATCAATCACAAGCGTCTGGGCAGGAGTTAACTCACTCAGTTATATTCAACCTAGTAGAGGTACTGTAATCATCTTCCTGTTTCCCTCTTTGAGAATGGTCATTAAGCTTCTGAAATATGTTTAGCATTACCTCGTGATTTACACTTGTAGCATAATATTGTGTGTATTCCTCAGTTTGCTAAAGTTGATTATGCCTTTATTGCGTCAAGTTCACTTCCGTTGCATGTAGTGGAGAATACCTTTGCGTATTCAACACAGTTATTTGGATGCAGTAATCACAAATTTCTTGATGAAAACACGAATGTGTCTCATTAAATAATTTGAATTTAAACACTTTATCGCTGGTCTAATTTTTGTCTCTTTTAAAGACTAAAGCCCTTTTTATTTCTACCGGCGACTTCTCGTACTTTTTGAAATGGAACTTACAGTCTTGTTCGTTTGAAAATATCTACTCTTCGTTCTGGTTTAGTTAATTTAATAGTCAACGAGGCTCTTCTGGAGAATACTCTTATGAAAAGCACTTGAAGAACTTGATCACTACAGGTCGATATTTTTCCTGTTATTTATTTATTTCAAATTGCAGGCGTTTTGATAGCTATCATTAGCCCTTTAATTGACTTCGGGCTTCACAGAGGGAAGGTTCATCGAAGTAGCAGAAAGTCGAGGGGTGGGAAACAGAAGAGCGATTCACAGATGTAAAAGAGGC